AACAGGCCACAGCGGCCTGTGGCCAGCTTTGCAAGCACTGCCCTGGGGAAGCTGGCACTGGCTCTGGTGACAGAGACAGGCAGTGTGGGGCTTTTGTGACCTACTGTGGCCATGCAGCAGAGCTGGCAGCAGCACAACGGTCCCCTCATGCCAGCATCTGCCCACCTGGAGCTCAGCTTCCCCTGCCCTCTCGTGGGCCCGGTGATGCAGCTGGGGGGGGGGCGTTCAGACACCGGCAGCCGCGGGAGGGGGTGGTGCCTATGCCGGGGGAGCTCAGCCCCCTGCCTTAACTTGGGGTGCAAAGGAGCACCAGGCACACCCTGCTCACAGCCCCCAGAGAAGAAGAGGAGGGAAGACCACATCATCACGACCAGATTTAATGCTGAGCTGATACGACTCGGCCCCTGCTGCTGCGGTCCAACTGGGAGAGCCGGGATGGGTTTTGGTCCCGCTGGTCTTCCCCCAGGCATGGCAGCCCCAGGGCCCGTGGGCAGGCAGGGTCACTTGTGCCGGCTGAGGTGGCGGGAGTGTGTGTGCACAGCTTCCACGAAGGCACCCACGTGCTCGGGGCTCACGTCGGGGTACAATCCATGACCCAGGTTGGCGATGTAGCGCTGGGTCCCGAACCCTTCGAGCATCATCTTCACCAGCTCCCCGATCCGCTCCTGGCCGTGTGAGGGGGACATTGTTACCCCCATGCAGCCCTGGCCCTGGCAGGGTGGTGGCCAGACTTGGGACACGGACACCCTCCACACCCTGGATGCAGGGAAGCTGAGGCAGGGGGAGGCGACCTGCCCCCGAGGGAGGGGGAGCCTCCGTTCCCTACCTTGGGTGCGTAGAGGGCACAAGGGTCCAGGTTGCCTTGGAGGGTCACGCATGGGCCTGTCCGCTCCCTGCAAGAGAAGCAGGTGAGTCCCTGCGCACGGCTGGGGGATGAGATGCGTCTCCAGGTCCCTGCTATCGCCCCAGGGCTCCAGACGGGGCCGAGCAGCCTGCACATACCCCAACCCTGCCCGAGTCCACCCCAGCTGCAAAGAGGGCCCCGCACTGGCCCCCAGGATGGCTTGGACCCACTTCCTGGCCCAAAACCCTGGCAGTGCTGTGGCCTCTCTGCAGCACGGGAAGGAGCGGGGGCTGGCGCCGGGGCAGGTAGCACTGCCCACACACACTTGCCCCAGCCGGGCGGGAATCGTACCGCGCTTCCCGGGGCTGGATGGTCCAGTCAAGGCCGACCACGTCACAGCCGGACCGCGCCAGCTCCTCCAGCGCGTAGTGCGCGTCCTTGGCAAAGACAATCTGGGCGGAGAAAGACATGCAGCCTGGGTCAGTCACAGGGCTTGGGCATGATGGGCCCCCTCTGCTGCCAGCCAAGCACCCGCCTTGTCTGCTCAGCCCATCCACCCTCCCGGGAGCGATGGGAAAGGTGGCTGCAGGCCTGAGCTCCCGTACTGCATGGGGGGAGACAGCCCTGGCCCCCAGACCAGCAAACACCTGCCAAGGAGAGGCCATGTACTCAGCCCATGGTCAGGGAAACTGAGGCATGGAGCAGCTGCCAGTAAGTGACCAACCCACATGGCAGAGGGGGCTCAGGTGTCAAGTGGGATGAGAAGTCTAACAGGAAATCACGCTGGGCTGACTTAGGTGACCAGCCCAACGTAGGCCAAGGCCTGGCCCAGAGCGTGGCCATTCGAGAGCCCCTGCAGCTGTGGCAACAGAGGTTGTGGGCAGCTGCCCCAGCTCAAATCCACAGCCCAGGAACCACCCTCTCCCCCTGCCCTGCAGGGCTCAGGCACCCCCCATGACCCCTGGGCGGCCCACAGGCAGGTTCTGCTAGACACTAGCTTGGCCCCAGGACCAGTGCCAGGGATGCTGCGGCTTCCTCACACCACTGCTGCCTCCCCGTGGAGAGCTGGGGTAGCAGCACCAGCGTGGGGTGGGGAGAGAAGGCAGGGCCACTGGCAGAGGGAAGCAGGGCCTGGACACGGCCTCCTCTGCAGCCACAGGCAGGGCTGCACCAGCCTCCTGCCCCCGCCAGCGAGGGCAGTGCTGTCCCCTCCCCCATGCTGCTGGCAGCCCAGCCAGTCACCTCACCATGGGCACAGCGGGCAGCACAGCCTCCTCCAGCCTGCTCTTCACCCGCTGCACGATGTCCCGCAGGTAGGGCAGGGCAAACTCCCCGAACTGCTCCGGGCCCAGGTGTCCAGCATGGGACTCAAACAGCTGCAGCGCCTGCCAGAGTAGAGGTGGGTATTGGCCTGGCTCTCCCTCGGCCCGGCCCCTCATGGCTCCCAGAACAGACCAGGACCCCCTTCTCCTCCATCCCCAGCAGCTTTAACCCTTTAGGCTCACAGATGCTTTAGGCCCCCACACCCCAGGGGCAAGTCCTTGGGGTTCAGGCTCCAGGGTGGTTTGAGCCCCAGAATCCCAGTCAGGCTTGGCAATGACCCGAACCTCCCCCAGAGCTGCCCCACTCCCTGGGGGAGACTAACCTGCGCGCCGGCCGCCACTTGCCCCACCAGGTATTGCACGATGAGGTCCGCCAGGATGCGCAGGAGGCGGTGGCTGGCCTCGGGGTGCCGATACAACCAGGCCTTGGCCTTGGCCATGGTGTTCGAGCCGCCGCCCTCGATCATGTATGACATGAGCGTCCACTGGGCAAGGAGCAGAGACAGAGGCAGCAGCGTGAGGAGCGGTGCCAGGAAGGGCAGGGGTCCCCACCCCAGCACCCAGCAGAGCCGCCCCCATCTGTGGGATGAGGAGGAGGGAAGGGGCCGGGTTACAGAGCACAGTAGGTGTTTGGTATCTCCCAGGCTTCTGGGCTGTGCTGGTGCCCCCCGCCTTTCTGCTTCAGGGGGTTTTTAAGCCTCCCCCCAAGGTGCTGGGTGCTGCAGCAGCCCCAGCTGGGGACAGGGCTGTGCTGATGCTCCTGCTGGCACCGACCCTGCAGGGTCCTGGCTGGAGGGTCTCGCCCCTGCGTTCAGGCTCAGACTGACGCTGCACTGGGGTAGGAAGGGACCTGACCCCACAGTTGGGTTCATAGTTTCATAGCTGGTCGGGTTGGAAGGGACCTGAGCAGATCATCAAGTCCGACCCCCTGCCCCGGCAGGAAAGAGTACTGGGGTCAAACGACCCCAGCAAGGTGATTGTCTGGCCTTGGTGCGGCCTGGGGGGCAGGGGGTTCACTTTCCTCTGCAACGGGGGTTGTAGTCTCTTGGGTGTATTGTAATGAACTTCTTCCTAACTTGCAGGGGCAGGACATTGGCAGGGCCCTTGGTGCTGCCCGGAGCCACGGTTGGGGCAGGGAGCCAGGCTGCCTGCCCCACCTGGGGCTCAAGCGCCTCCTGCTGCCCATGCCGAGAGGCACAGGATTGGGACTCACTGGAGCGCCGGAGAAGCCGATGAGCGGCACCTTGCCTTCCAGGCGGTGCCGCGTGAGCGTGATGGCCTCGAAGACATAGCCCAGCTCCGCTGCCACGTCCACGTTCGGCCGTAGCTTCAGCAGGTCCTCCACCTCCTTCAGGGGCTCTGGGAAGGTGGGCCCTTTGCCGGGGACCATCACCACTTCCATGCCCAGTGCCTGGCGGGGAGGATGGAGGCTGCATGAGGAAGCTGTCGCAGCTGGCGCCTGTGCCGCATTCCTCCGACGGCATTAGCTCCCAGCTCCTAGCTCCCTTCTGTGAGCCCCTGTGCATACCTGGGGCACCACCAGGATGTCTGAGAAGATGATGGCCGCATCCAGGGGAAATCGCCTCAGAGGCTGCAGGAAGACTCAGGGTGAGGGAGGCACCCAGAGTGGCATGACTTCCCAGCAGTCTCTGTCCCTAGGCTCGGGGAGCTCTTCCCCTGGGTATCCAGCCCCATCACCCTCCACGCCTAGAGCTGAGGGCTGGCTTAGGCCTCCATGATGGAGTGGCTCGGCTCCTGTCCCTCACCTGCAGGGTCAGCTCACAGCACGTCTTGGGGCTTCGGCAGGTGGCAAAGAAGTCCTGGGTGGCACGGGTCTCACGAAACTCTGCAAACAGAGGGGCTCAGCCAGGTGCCCAGCACCCCAGGGGGCAAGTGGGATGTTCCGTGGCTGAGGCAGTGGGCGTCTCAGCCGGGGCATGCCCAGGGGTGGGGTGCAGAGGGAAGGATGGAGATTTGGTGGCTCCCAACCCGCAGCCCGCTGCCCTGCAGGCATCCCCATCCCCACCAACCAGTTGACACCCCACCTGGGAGGTAGCGCCCAGCCTGCCGCATGCACCAGACGGGCGTGTACTCTGTCTTGTCTCCTCTTGCCGCCCTCAGGAACGTGTCGTTCTTCAGCTCGGGGAATACCTCAGGGCTGAAACACAGGATGACGGTCACCACGCTGGAGCGAGATGCCCCCTGAGGAGTGGGACAGCTCGTCCAACCTCCAACCCGGAGCAGAGTGGGGGAGCCAGCCAGGGCTGCCACATGCCCCACTGCTGACATGATCTGGGGTAAGTCCCAAGCTCTCCCTGCCAGTGAACCCAGGCTGATCCCAGCCTTACCCCCAGACTGGGGTGGGGGGTGCAATCAGGCTGGGGAGGGAGGCCAGGCCCACCCCACCCTTCCAGGGCAGTCCCTCTGCCCCTTCATAGACTTCATAGACATTAGGGCTGGAAGGGACCTCGGAAGATCATTGAGTCCAGCCCCCCGCCCAAAGGGCAGGAAGTCATTTGGGGTCATAGGATCCCAGCAAGATAAGCGTCCAATTTGCTCTTGAAGGTGTTCAATGTAGGTGCGTGAACCACCTCCGATGGCAGACTGTTCCAGACCTTGGGGGCTCAGACAGTAAAGAAATTCTTCCTTATGTCCAGCCTGAAACGGTCTCGTAGTAGTTTATGACCATTCGACCTCGTCATCCCTTGGGGCGCCCTGGTGAACAAACGTTCCCCCAGATCCTGGTGCTCACCCCGATAAGCTTATAGGTGGCCACCAGATCACCCCGAGCCTGCACTTTTCCAGCCTAAAGAGCCCCATGGCTCTCAGCCTGTCGTCGTAAGGTCTGTTTTCCTGACCTCTGATCCTGCGCGTGGCTCTTCTCTGGACTCTCTCAAGCTTCTCCACATCCTTTTTCAATTGTGGGACCCAAAACTGGATGCAGTACTCCAGCTGCGGCCTCACCAAGGCCGAGTACAAGGGGAGAATGACGTGCCAGGATCTGCTTGAGAAGCATCTATGGATGCAAGCCAGCGTTTTGGTCACTTTACTAGCCGCAGCATCACATTGCAGGCTCGTGTTCATCTTGTGGTCAATGATGACCCTCAAGTCCCTTTCATCTGTAGTGCTTGCCAGCGTAGCACTGCCAAGCCTATAAGGATGCTGCAGGTTTTTCTTCCCAAGGTGGAGGACCTTGCATTTTTCAGTGTTAAACACCATCAGGTTCTCGTCCACCCATTTGCTGAGCCTATCCAGGTCAGCCTGGATCGCCCTCCTGTCTTCTGGCGTGGATGCTTTGCCCCAAAGTTTGGTGTAAATTTACCGCAGGGTAAATTGGCTGAGACCCCAGGCCTGTCTGCCCATCCCCACCCCGGAGTCCAGGGGAGCAAGGCAGCCAAGTTCTCTAATAAGAGAGCCTAGAAACCGCCTTCTCCTCCCAGGACAGTCTCTGCAGGGCTCTGGCTCCAGTAGAACCAGTGCCCCCACTCCCAGGGCACTGGCCTTCACCTCTGCTCACTGGCAAGAGAAGAGGAGGCCAGGACCCTCCAGCACAGAGAGAACAATCCTGCCCTGGATGTGGGGCATGAGGGGCATCGTGCCCCAGCCCCTGCTCCTGGTGTGGGGTCCCCCAGGCCGCGGGGACATGCACCCTCCTTTGCTCACACTGCAGGATGCTGGCTCCAACCCATCACCATGCACTGGAGGTCAGCAGCCTCTGCCCTGTGCCCCCCAGGGCAGGATCTCGCCTGCCCCAGTGTCTTGGTCAGGCTGCGCATTGCTGGCTGCACTGTGCAGGGGGCCCAGCGCTGCCTGCTCCAGAGCCATTCCCAGCAACGGAGCCACATCCCTCCAGGCCTGGGGAGCTCTTGGCACAGTGAGGAGAGGCCGGGCAGGACACCAGGCTTCGCTGCCTGGATGTGACCCAGGGGTGCTCCTACCCAGCCTGGCACAAAGGACTTAGCTTTATGGCACCCCGCCAACACGCACACACAAGGCCAAAGCAGCACAAATGCCCCCTGTGCCCAGTCCAGCAGGAAGCCCTGTGGTAGCAGCTGCTATGGGACTTCCCTCCCCTCCCTGAAGGTATTACGCAGAGTTTGGAAGAGGTGAAGATAAGCCAGGGATGCCCGACTGCAACTGCTGTCACCCCCTTGTCTGCCTTCCCTCCTCTAGCTACGCTGAGGTTGCGGAGCACGTGCCCCCTTTCCTCGTGGCTTGGAGATGACGGAACCGTTTGCAGGGCCCCAGCTGATTAAGTTATCTGCAGCAGCAGCGAGCGGCTCCTACCCCCAGCGCCCGGAGTTATTCCAGGAAGGGCAGGCCCCAGCCTGGGCCAACGCGCTCTGCCTGGGGCCCTCCTGGGCCCTCCCTGCCCCGTGGGCTGCGGGCAAGGCTCCCTATCTCAGCTGCGCAGGCCTGGGAGGTGATCAGGGCCCCTGTGGGCTGGGACAAGAGGGGGGGGTTGGTTTCATCGCCATGTGGCCAGAGTCTCCCAGCCACATGGGGGATTCAGCTCTTTCTTAAGGAAGCCTGGGTTTTTTTATAATTATAAAATACATGTCAGCCTCCTGGCACAGGGCGGGGAGGGCAGACAAGACCTTGCTGGAGGAACCAGGCTTGGGCGCAGACCCCGCGCTGCCCAGGGCACCATGCCCAGAGTCACCGGGGTGCAGTCCACCTGCTAGTCAATGCAAGCCTGCAGCTGCCCCCAGCCCCCTGCCACAGTGAGGTTTTATGACTACACTTCCTCCATCCTTTCAGCACGTGTCTCCAGCCTGCTGCTCTGTGAAAGATTTAACGGGGACAGCAGAAACGGAGGCTATGAGGCAAGTCAGGAAGGGCCATATGGCACCAGCTGAGCGAAACCAGGAGAGACCCCCTCTGCTGCAGACTCACTCTGCCACAATACGCAAATCCTCATAAATTAAAATGCTTCATCAAGTCTGGCGGATTGGGCTGGGATCCCACCACCAGAAAAAGTAAGGATACCATTGACAAGCCCCGTTTCCACCACTGGCTTCTTTTGGGTCTTGAAACGGCCGTTTTTTCCCCCCTTATCCTCTTGTGCAATATCAATGCAAAACGCAGTCGAACCGAAAATGAAGCGCTGACTGGAACTGGCCCTTGGAGAAGTCTCCCGCGTGTTTTCCTGTCCATCCCGATTCACAAAAAATCCATTTTTCAAAAACCCAGAGAAAGCTTTGGGACGTGGGCTCCGTATCAGGTGGTGTTACTTTACGGTTAGGGCCCCCAGGCTCTGGAATGGGGTCCAAGGGGTCTTCAAGAGGAGGGTGGGTAGATATCTGGCTGCGGTATTATGATCCCAGCACTCGTTCGTAGATTACAGAGTTGCTCCAACCATTGATCTAACCTGCATCTGCTCCCTGCCCTCCCGTGTGTTAACTTTGCCCCACAACTAGGTGTCATCTGCGAGCTCGGAGAGGGTGCTCCCCGCCCCCGGCCACTCACCGCCGCGGCCCGTTCCCCTCCATGCTCCTGCGCTCTGCGCTGGCCACGCCCCCATGCGCACTATGGGCGCCGCCATCTTGGCGGCAGGCCACGCCCCCCAGGGGAGGCCTACCCGCCACTTCCGGGTTCGCTTTAGCTGCCTAACGCAGTGCCTGCAGGACCCCGCGCCAGGAGCAGGGCGGCGACGCGCCGCCTGAGCCGAGCGGAGGTTACCGTAAAGCCTGGTGTAGCGGCGCCGCACGAAGAAGGGAAGGCAAAGGGGGGTGGCGCGCGTGCGGGGCTGAGGTGCAGCGAGTGCGCGAGGGCTCAGCCAGCAGAGCGAGGCCGTGCAGCCCAGAGCCCAGCCTGGGTGCCCCAGGCAAGGGGGGCATGCAGCAGGTGCAGAGCGGTCACCCCCGTCTCCTGCAGCCTGCCCCAGACCCACCCAGGGGCTGGTTCAAAATGAAATGTGTGCGCGCGTGCGTGGGTGGTGTTTCATTGTAATCATGGAAAAATGTGGATTTGGGGTTACTGTTTTTAACCTGAAAACTGGGGATTGTTTTTAAATCAGAAAAAACCAGGGTGGCTGGTGATCTCAACAGGCTCCCCTGCAGCCTCCACAAGTACTTACCGTTCCCAGGTCCTCCTGCCAGCGCCCCATCCCCGTCCCTGCTGCCCTCGCCCTGGTGACTGCACAAGAAATGGGGTTTGGTGCCCGAGGAGGAACCCACCCTGGACGCCCAGCCCAAACCCAGCTCTTTATTCCCTGCAGGGGACTTGATTTGTGACCCAGGGTTAGATCTTTTGATTAGTCAAGACGGGTTTGGGAGGCCGTGTCCAGCTCTTCAGCGCCAAAGGGTGGAAAGAGCCGCTTTGAGAAGGGGACGGGGAAGGATCTGATTTCAGCCTCCTGCCGCCCTGAGCAGCAAATTCGGCCGCTGGCACAACTCGGGGCTTGGAGAAGGGGCTGGGGCTCCTCTTCCACGTGTCCCCTGGTGCAGCGAGTGCTGCGGGTAGGGGCCCGGACCCTGCCTGCCAGCCCAGCCCAGCCCAGCCCAAAATGCCTTGCCCCCTGAGGAAGAGCGTGCCCGAAAGCTGGCCGAGAACAATTTTCCCAACGATTCAGTTGGTCTAATAGAAAAATCACATTTACCCCAATAACCTTGTCTGCCTTCCACCTTTAGCTTCCTCCCTGCAAAACTCAAGTTTATTTTCTACCCACAAGGACTTCTTGCCATCTTTAGATCTTCCTGAGCCCGAAAGCTTGCAGGAAAAGATCCTTTTTTTTTGAGATTTGTTTTTTAGCTGGTCTCATAAAAGGTGTCGCCCCTGAACCGAGAGCCCTAGAGCTCCGCACTGCCAGGCGCGGGCTGCGCGAGATCCACGCTGTGTTTCAGGGGTGCTGGTTCGAGGCCAGGGGCACACCGGGGTCTGTGCGTAGCTGGTCGACCAGCTAAATTCTTGGGGAAATTGTTCTGGGGCAGCTTTTAGGCACAACCCCCTTCCCCAGGCCTGAAGAAGGGCGTCTCTGCCTGAAACGTGTTCTTGCCCGGCCTTCGGGCACGAGCCCTTCTCCAGCTCGCCTTTTTTTAATGTTTGTGCCCAAAACTTGTTCTTGCCCGGCTTTGGGGCACGGCCCCCTTCTCATCTCTGCTTCTTTAATGTTTGTGCCTCAAAATAGTGCCTGACACTTGTTGTTGGCCAGCTCTGGGGCACCCCCCCTTCTCCGAGCCCTCTCCTGAGCTCGTCTTTTTTGATGTTTGTGCCCGAAGCTTGTTGCTGGCCATCCTTTGAGTGCGGCCCCTTCTGAGCTCTCTTTCTTGTAATGTTTGTGCCCCAAATTGTGCCTGTGAACGGCTCTTGCCCGCGCGCCGCGCATCTCTCCTGGGTAACCGGTGTCGCGCAGGCGCAGAGCGCAGGGGCGGTGCCGCTTCCCGCCCAGATGCACTGTAGCACGTGCAGCATCCGGTGGGCGCAGGGCCCGCCCTCCCCTCGGCCGCCCGCTTCCGGCCCGGCTTGGCCCGGCGGGCGGGCGGGCGGGAGGCGGA